GAAAGACAAAAAAGAGTTAGGCATTAAATTAGAACCAATAGAATTGGATAAAATAATTTTGGGGTCGGAGGATAAAATGATTAAAAAATTATACTACTATTTGCAAGATCAGGCAACGTACGAGGAACAAGTAAAAGTGACTATGTTGAATTGGAGTAAGGATTTTGGTCTTAATTTTGATCTGCATATATGGCAAGAACTATGGGCAAGAAACAAGAAGCTTACTTTGGCCACCTCTTACAAAGAGAACCTTTACAAAATGTTTTATAGATGGCATCTCCCACCCACAAGATTGTCTAAAATGTATACCAATGTCTCCCCTAAATGTTGGAAATGTAATTTGAAAAGTGGAACTTACTATCATATGTGGTGGGAATGTACGCGAGCTTGTGATTTTTGGAATAGGATTAAAATATGGTTGGAAGAAATATTAGAGCAAGCGGTAGAACCAAAACCAGAACTCTTTCTATTAGGTTTAACTACGCAAAAACATGACAAAGGCGTATTTTATTTAATGCTACACATTTTAACAGCCTCCAGGCTGGTGTTTGCTCAAAATTGGAGGAACAAGGAAACCCCAACGGAAGAAGAGATCCTGCATAAAGTTCTAATATGTGCTGAGATGGACAGGCTTACAATGATTATGAAAGACAAAACGGAACACGAATACTTCGAAATCTGGGGCAAATTTTACCGCTGGTATGAATTAAGAACTGCTCGGACTTCAAACTAATGGTAGAATTAAAAGATATACATAACTGTACATATAATTGTATATATAATTGTATTGTATAAAAGATGAGGTTTATATAGAGGTTAAGAACAATGTATAAATTTTTTGTACTATGATAGGAACTGATAGAAAAATTCACTCTGGAATGTCATGTTTGTCCATTGTTGTTTTAATTGTATTATGAATAAAAATTTGAAGAAAAAAAAAAGGAAGAATTCTGCCTCGAAGTTCTTTTGATGGGCTTCATCTGTTGCAGTGGTTCTCAACCTGTGGGTTGGGACCCCATTTGGGGTCAAACGACCATTTCATGGGGGTCTCCAAACAACGCAGTCCGCCATTTTTTTCCCTTTTCCTTAGCTGTGCTACTCCCTTTTATTCTATTGGCTTTTGAAAGCCAATAGAATAGACTCTCTTGAATAGAGTCTAATTCTATTGGCTTTCAAAAGCCAATAGGAATTGTCCAGGCTGTCTCTGCCCTGCTGAGCCCGCCAAAAGTCCCATTCTGCAAACGGTGCTGCACCAGTTGAATAGTCCTCGACTTACGACCGGTTGAGTAGTCCTCAACTTACGACCAGTTGGGGGTCATGGCATTAAAAAGATTGAGAACCACTGATCTATCGGAACCATGACACACTGCTTGAATTTACAATCATGTATAAAGATGAATAAAAGTATAAAAATAATATTGCTAGAAACAATTTTTGTTTATTCTGTACTGGTAGTGCTCAACTTACAACCATAATTGAGCACAACATTCCAGTTACTGAGACAGATGTTAAATGAATTTTGCCCCATTTCACAACCTTTCTTGCCACAGTTGTTAAGTGAATCACTATAGTTGTTAATAACAAGGTTGTTAAGTGAATCTGGATTCCCCATTGACTTTGCTTATCAGAAGTTTACAAAAAATGGTCACGATCCAGGACCCTGCAACCGTCATCAATATGAATTAATTGCCAAACATCTGAATTTTGATCTCATGACCAAAGGGATGCAGGCAACAGTCATAAGTGTAAAGAATGGTCTTAAGTCACATAAGTCACTTTTTTCAGTATTGCTGTAACTTTGAATGGTCATTAAATGAACTGTTGTAAGCCTATGGCTATCTGTACAGTGTATACAATTTTTACCCTGACATTTCTTTAGTAGTTTCTGTAGTTTAGAAAATCTGATCAAAATCACAACACTTCTTGCATTAAAAATTACTACATATATAAATCCCTTTCTCCCAATCTTTCTATAAAAGATACTTATATTTAGGGAGAATATGTTATCTCCTAAGAAAAATTAAACCAATTTCAATATCCATATTTTTCAACAGTTCATTGAAGATTCCAGTTCTTTAACATTGTATCTTACAAATGAGAGTATTATTAGATAACATTAATATTAAAATGTGAACAAGAAAAAGAGACATATGCCATATGGATTTCATTAAAAACTCAAGCCAGGAAAAATATTTAAAAACTGATATTAAAAATAAAATCTATAAACTCCATTTTTAAATATAGGCAGATTTAAATTAAAAGGGAGGAAAAAAGAGGGAAGAGGGAAGAGCGAACAAAAGACTATAGCCAAAAAGCAGCCATATTTTGCTGTAGTGAAGGACATAAATATGAATATATATAAGAGTTAAAGATAATTGTCTATGGAGATTTTCAGTCATCCAGGTCATAGTTATCCCAAAGATGTTTTTTTCATGAGGCAACTGGACTTTCTTGCTTTTTTTTTTGAAGACGTTTCGCTTCTCATCCAAAAAGCAAGAAAGTCCAGTTGCCTCATGAAAAAAGCATCTTTGGGATAGTTAAAAATAATGCACAATAACATTTCAAAAAAATCAACTTTTAATAGGAATTTAGAGGCGAAATATATTTTAGACTCCCCACGATTATGAAATGATTTTCAGTGTCAGTTGATCATTTTAGATTTTTCTCAAGAACTAGTTCAAGTTCAAGTTAGTATTTCTCTGTGCCGGTGAACCTCTATGGTATAATCTGAGAAAACCATCATGATTCTTTTTGTCTTCTCAGCCTATTGTGTACATCTGCCTTCAAGTCAATGTTGACTCCTGGCAAGTGCCTGGATAAGTCCCTATAGTTTTCTTGGCAAGATTTTGGAAGTGGTTTGCCATTGCCTGCTTCCTAGGCTAAAAGAGAGTGACTGGCCCAAAGTCACCCAGACTGACCCAAAGTCCCTGGTGCCTAAGGCAGAATTAGAAGTCATAGTTCTCATAGTTTCTTAACCATTATACCAAATTGGATCTCACCTCAGTCTTACTTGAGCAATTTAAATATTTTATAAAAATTCATTCCGCACAGGAAATCTGAAGCTGAGTAGTTATAACAAAAAAATAAACTGGAATGTAATGAGCCCTCAAATTGATATATTTCATGCAAAGCTGACACTGTCTGATTAGGGCTTCCATAAAGTTCTTGTCAAATGAGCTAGCAACAGATACCAGGGCCATTATTTTGCACTGTTGAATCTCAATAGCATTTAGTAAATTAATTAGAGATATAATGGTTAACTTTATAACATTTTCCAGTAAGCTATTCTGTTCTCTGTCATATCTAAGCTAATGCTTACAGTATTAATAGCCTTTACATCCTCTTTAATCTCCAGGAGAATGGTATCACATCTTTCTCAAAAGTCTTGCTGAATTTTCTTTGATACCATAAAGACAAGTAACAAACCAGTGCTCTCTAGTAATTGTATATTTCTGGTTCTGACAGTAACAAAGTAGCAATTAAATACATACAAAGATGAAAAAAACTATATGGGTGACCATCTCTCTCCTCCCTATTTTCTTCTTAGGATTAAAATGACTGAGTCAAATCACTTTACTCATCAGTTTTTGAAAAACACAGGTCTTTGTCCTATTATATCCTGTTCTTATATTTTCCTATGTATTACCTTCTTCTGTTTCAAGTATGATGCTTGCATATGTAACCATAGTAGGCTATTTCATCAGCATTTAGATCATGTTTTAAGAGTTTACAATAACCAACTGATTCTTCCCATATTATCTTAGGGAGCTAGTAGGATTCAATATTTAATTTCAAGACTAGGAAAATTTATGGCTAGTAGTTAATACCACTAATAATCATACAGAAATAATCATACAGAATTTACTGGTGCTCTAAATGTTGAAGGTTCTAACAACTACAAGAAACTAGGCAAGTATGAAACTCTGATGAGAAATGCAGTAAGTCAGGGGTCAATAGTACAGATAGGTGAGGCAGAAAGCCCCTTCTTTTACAAAAACCTGCAAGAGCAAAACCCTTAATTGTTGGTACCACTGTACTCTTTTTGAAACGAAGGCCATTTGGGCCAGAAAGCTTTCCCTAAGATAGCCAACTTAAGAAAATTCAGTTTCATCAAGAGTAAATGGTGATTATCTTCAACAAGTAGTATTACAAGGAATTGTCTTGATCTCGTTTAACCTGTTTATCAGTAAGTTTCTCACATCGGATTTGAGCTAAAGGCCAAACATATATATCTGGAAGCCCAGGCCTTCAGTTCTCCCAAATTTGACACGGCCTTTAAATAACTCTAACTCTCCTAACTGGAAAAGCGACTGCACCTAGAAGTCACACGAGGGAGTTGAGCAGAAAAACTTAAACACACCTAAAATAAATGCGAAGGAAATATGACTAACAGCGCCTATTAATGAATAGGCAAACAAGTACTGAATGAGTCCTCAAATGTAAGCAGTCCAGCCATGAAAGTCCCACAAAGGTCGATATACATTGTCCCCCGTCCCAATCTTTCACACTTCAGGATAAGAAAAGAGGCACGCGAACCTCTGGCCTGAACTGTCGCGGCCTTCGAGTGAAAGAACTGCCTCACATTCCTTGACTCCCTCCGCGCAGCCTGTCTCAGTGTGGTGGAAGGGGAAGAAACGCAGGGCTACCACTGGGCCGGCAGCGACCGATTATTCCCGCTTCCCTCCCACCCAGGCCACGTCCAGGGCTCTGGGTACCTGTCCTCGCTCTTGTTTTTCTGTTTTTTGCCCATGGTTCCAACCGTCTCTTCGGGGCTGGCTCTCTCGCTCGTTCTCCTTGCGCAAGGCCCAGCCAGCCGCCTCCACACGCGAGAGGGCACATACGGTGAGAGGCCAACGCGAACTCTCCACTCGGCAGCAGCCGATGCGCGCAGGCGCCTCACCTCTGGCCCCCGGCACGCAGCAGGCGGGGAATCGGCGCGCAGAAAAAAGCAGGTCGCCTCGCCAGGAGCTTCCGGCTGGCGACCGCCTCCTCTGGACGGAGGACGAACAGCAGCCAACCGCGTGAGTTGGGCCCGCATACAAGAGGCGCTTGAACGACCGGGGAGAGGCACCGAGAGCGTTCAGCGCCTCGCCCCTCAGCAGCGGAAAGGCCCCGTTAATGCGCCACCCATCGCTGAGGGCCCTTCCGAAGGCTGAAGGTGGGATCTGAGTGTTATCGAGATGGGGGCACCCAGGCGTTGGGTGTTGCAAGGTCTCGTGTGGTTTATTACAAGCTAACGGAATTAGCGCGACTCAGGACTGGTATGTGCTGTGTGAAGCATTGCTTTTTGTTAAGAATCCCCCTCACTCAACAAAGTCTTTTCTTATTAATCGTTAATTAACGTGAACGTACAGCCGCGAACCAACCACCTCTCGCTCTCACATTTATTCTGAAAAAGGTATGCGCACGACGCAAGTGCAAAAAGTTCGCCACTCCTTGACAGGTAACTGCTGCGTCAACAATAAACGTCTTCAGGACGCGTCGATGAGGTTAAAGGCGCATGCGCGGGACGCATTGCCCAGGTTCACTTACTGGGTAAAAACGCGTGGGGTGTCGGGGTCCTTTGGGGGCTCCTTTGTGAAGCCAGTTGGGTGACGAGAGGCTCAGGGAGACATTTTTGTGGTTCTTCTACGTTCCTTTGTGGCTTTTCGATTTCTAACTAGTAAGTATCGAGCCGAATCGTTACTGTTTGGTTGCCTGTGTCTCGAAACAGTACAAATAAACGGTGTTTATATCATATTTCTTTTAGAAAGACTTGCTGATGATGATGTAGACCAGTAGTTCTTAACCTGGGCGATATTGCCCCCCAGGGGGCGATTTCATTTTTCAGGGGGGCGATGGAACGAAAAGGGGGCAATATGGGGGCGATGGAGCGAGAAGTTTTGGGGACACTCTTGAGACTTTTTCGTACAGTGAATCGCTGTATATCTGTAGTACAAAAACATCAGATCGCTCGCTATTAGTGGATTGAATTGTGTTTTCAAATGTTCCTCCAGCTAGCTTCAGTACAGAACCTCGTACATATGTGAATATGCATCGCTTATCTTCATGCGCGTTGCACAGCAGCCTCTACCCATACAGTGGTGCGCCATTGGCCAGAATGGGCAGTGATGGAGGGGGGAGCGCTTCTTTCGAAACATCGCATGCTGAGTGGCTGTCCCCTGTGATGTCAGCTGTAATGTTGATGTCACAGTTTGAGTTTTCAGCTTTGTTTTCCAATTTTTGTTGTGCTCTGTGTGTCTCTTTGTATTGTACTTTTTTAGCGTGCACTCCAGTTTGATATTATATTTTCTTTGTGTCTTTTTAATCCTTTTTACAGTGTGCGTGACTATATATACTTTCCTCAAATCTTAATTTAGTTTCAGAGTTTTCTTCTTGAAATTCTTAGTTCCTGCATTGCAGTTTGTTCTTATGCCCTTTTTATATTTCTTTTTGCATCTTAAATTTCACTTGTAATTCAATCATTAAATGTTACTGTTTTTCTTTTCGGGCATTTCGCTTTCTTGCAGTTGAATTTTGTTTTCAGTGGTCATTACATTTAAGTGTCTTGAATAAATACGATAATAATTAAATACATGTATCACAAAGTTTGGGAATAAAGTGCCGGGTGGCACCAAAATTTTTCACATAGTTGAGATATGGGAAAAAGACTGGAAATAAACTATTTGCATTGATATGTCCTGATGACAATTTTAAAGAAAACAAAAAAAAGTGTTTGCATAAATTGAAGAATTATTTCCTATGTTGTCATTAAGAGGTTATGTTGGGGGAGGGGGGCGATGACAACTTCCTCATTGGCTGAAGGGGGCGATTCATTCAAAAAGGTTAAGAACCACTGATGTAGACGAGGAGTGGGCTGGATGCATCTCTGTTGGTTTTAGACTTAGGTGTCAGCTCTGGATGGATAAGTATATTTTTCTTACCCTCTCTATCAGAAATTGCCTTTTCACATCCGGCCTCTCCTGCAATTATTCTTCGTGTTGGGAAAATAAAAGCAGATGTTAGTGATGAGAACTCTGTACATTAACATTAAAACCGTTGCAGAAGTTAAATAAAAGGTGATCTCAGCAGCATGTTTTGATTTTACAACATCTGATATTTCAGATCTTAACTGAAATCATATTTCCAGAATATGAAGTATGATGTCATCAATACTTAACCTTTAAAGTAGAGTATAATTAACTTGGCTCTTGCTCCATTATTTATTGATCTTAATTAAATATATTTTACAGAATTTAATGGGGTTCACAAAACACCTATCCTGACTATTTTTCCATGTATGAAAAAAAATACTAAGTTAGGAAGATCACTCAAAATTTTTATGTTGTTAAATTGTAGATGGGACACTGAGCGCAAAGCAGAATAGGTGGATGTTTTCCCCTCTATTTTTTCATTGTTAAAAGTGGGTTATGAAAATTATAGTTAATAAGTATCAATTCAACAGATGTACTTGTCTTATGAAGACTACCTTTTCCAAGATTGTGCCTACTATGAGATATATTTATAATTTAATGTATGATTAAAATAGCTTATATTTCTGAAAAAAGATTTATAATATGCTGCTTTGCTGAATTTCTTTTCTAGAGTAAAAGACATACATTTAGGAATTGCTATTTTCTTGTAGTATACATGAGATTTATCCTGAATCCAAACATGAATATTTTGGATGCAATAAAGCATCTTTGTGTGCATTCAGTAATAATAGTAAAGTTGGAAGGGACCTTGGAGGTCATATAGTCCAACCCCCTGCTCAGGCAGGAAACCATACACTATTTCGGACAAATGGCTGTCCAGTCTCTTCTTAAAAACTTCCAGTGTTGGAGCATTTACTGTTTCTGGAGGCAGGCTGTTCCACTGATTAATTGTTCTCACTGTCAGGAAGTTTCTCCTTAGTTCTAGGTTGCTTCTCTCTTTGATTAGTTTCCATCCATTGCTTCTTGTCCTGCCTTCAGGTGCCTTGGAAAATAGCTTTACACCCTCTTCTTTGTGGCAGCCCTGAGATATTGGAACACTGCTATCATGTCCCCCTCGTCCTTCTCTTCATTAAACTAGACATACCCAATTCTAGCAACCGTTCCTTATATGTTTTAGCCTCCAGCCCCCTAATCATCTTTGTTGCTCTTCTCTGTATTCTTTCTAGAGTCTCAACATCTTTTTTACATCGTGGTGACCAAAACTGAATGCAGTATTCCAAGTGTGGCCTTACCAAGGCATTGAAGAGTGGTATTAATACTTCACGTGATCTTGATTCTGTCCCTCTGTTAATGCAGCCTAGCACTGTGTTGGCCTTTTTGGCAGCTGAAGCACACTGCTGGCTCATATTTAAGTGATTGTCTACTAGGACTCCGAGGTCCCTCTCACAGTTACTACTATTGAGCATGGTGCCACCTATGCTGTACTTGTGCATTTGGTTTTCTTGCCTAAATGTAGAACCTTGCTTTTTTCACCATTGAATTTCATTTTGTTAGTTAGTGCCCAGTGTTCAAATCTGTCCAGATCCTTCTGTATCTTAAGCCTGTCTTCTGGAGTGTTGGCTATTCCTGCCAGCTTGGTGTCGTCTGCAAATTTGGTGAGTTCCCCATCTATCCCTTCATCCAAATCGGTGATGAAGATGTTGAAGAGTACTGGGCCCAGAACAGAGCCCTGGGGCACCCCACTACACACTTCCCTCCATATAGATGCAGTTCCATTGAGGACCACTCGCTGAGTACGGCCGTTCAGCCAGCTACGGATCCATCTGGTGGTGGTTCTGTCTACCCCACATTTTTCTATCTTGTCAAGTAGTAGGTTGTGATCTACTTTATCAAATGCCTTACTGAAGTCCAAGTAAATTATGTCCACAGCATTCCTCTGATCCACTATTTTTGTCACTTGGTCAAAGAATGCAATAAGATTTGTCTGGCATGATCTATTTTTGACAAACCCATGTTGGCTTTTAGTAATGACTTTGTTTGCCTCTAGGTGTTCATTGATTCGTTGTTTGATTATCTTTTCCAGGATCTTCCCAGGTATTGAGGTCAGGCTGATAGGTCTGTAATTTCCTAGATCCATTTTTTTTTTCCTTTTTTGAGGATGGGAACTACATCACCTCTTTTCCAGTCCTCTGGTAGTTCCCCTGTGTTCCAGGATCTTTGAAAAATATAGTTCAGTGATTCCGATATCACATCTGCCAGTTCCTTGAGAACCTTGGGGTGTAATCCATCTGGTCTTGGCGATTTGAACTCATCTAGGCTGGACAGGTGCTCGCTTACCATTTTCTTGCCAATCTTAACGTGTTTCTATTTTGTTTTTTATGGCACTATTTTTAATAGGTTGGTCTGTTTTTTCCCTTTGTGTAAAGACAGATGCAAAAAACGAGTTAAATAGTTCTGCTTTCTCCCTGTTGCTTGTCACCTTCTTGCCACTTCCACCCACTAACGGACCAATCATTTCCTTCACTTTTTTCTTGTTTTTTACATGTTGAAAGAAGCTTTTTTTGTTATTTTTGACTTTGGTAGCAAGCCTTAGTTCATTTTGAGCCTTGGCTTTCTTCACTTCATCTTTGCAGGCTCGGGCTATTTGCTGATATTCTGACTTAGTTATGTTCCCCTCTTTCCACTTTCTATACTTGTCCTTTTTATCTTTCCATTTGTCAGAGAGTTCTTTATGCAGCCATGCTGGTTTCTTTTGAGAGCTGTTGTTTTTCCTCTTTGTTGGTATTGTGCTAGACTGTGCTTTTATTATTTCATTTTTCAAAATTTCCCAAGCTTCTTGAGTTGTTTTCCCCTTGAGGATTCTCATCCATGGAATCCTTCCCAAGCCCTCTCTAAGTTTATTGAAATTAGCTCTCTTGAAGTCCAAGACTCTAATTTGACTGTGTTCTATTGCTTGTGCTTCTATAATGTTGAATTCTAATATTTCATGATCACTTCCTCCCAGGATTCCTATGGCTTCAACACCTTCTATCATTTCATCTCTGTTAGTGAGAATTAGATCCAAAATGGCTAATCCCCTAGTTCCCTTCTCTACTTTTTGGGAGACAAAGTTGTCTGCTAGGTTTGCCAGGAACCTGTTTGATCTTCCACTTGTTGCGGAGTTTGTCTCCCAGTTGATGTCAGGGTAGTTGACTTAGAACACGTTGCTTAGTGACCGTTTGAATTTACATTGGCACTGAAAAAAGTGACTTAGGACCATTTTTCACATTTATGACCTTTGCAGCATCCCCATGGTCACGTGATTTACATTCAGCCACTTGGCAACTGGTTCATATTTATGACAGTTACAGAGTCCCAAGGTCATGTGATCCCCTTTTGTGACCTGACAAGCAAAGTCAATGGAGAAACTAAATTCACTTAACAACTATGTTATTAATTTAACCTGCAGTGATTTGTTTAACAAATGTGGTCATAAAATGGAGCAAAACTCACTTAACAAATTTTTCACTTAGCAACATAAATTTTGTAAGTTGCGGACTGCCTGTATTGTTTTGATGTAGACTTTTGTCTAATTTAGCAACACTAATACTGTATATTGTATTAGTATCACAATTCATTATTATAAGATAAAATTGAGAAGCAATCATTTTGCCATTCTTATCAAGGTGTTAGCTTGGGGATCTTTATATATTTGATAACTTACCTCCAAACAGATTATTTTGCTGAGGTGTTATGTTAATGCCACATGAAATCTTTCATTCTGATACTGTTTTCTTGTCTATATCCTATATGATTCTTTTTCTTTTCAAGAGAGCATTATTCTGTATTTTAGGGTTTTTTCAAGAATATTTACTGAAAAAGTGTACTAGTTAACGTTTTCATTAGACAATTCAATGCTATTTAATATATTTCAAGTCCTGTTACTATATGCTTATGTCTAAACTGGAATCCAGGTTAGTCATTGTTAAAGGTAGAATTAGATTCCATCAGAAAGCAATTTCTATTTATCAACAATGGCAAAGTGGGCATTGATCTCAAAAAGCTTACTTCCATGGTCCAGATAGTATCCTTGCCTTTCTGAAATTTTGCTCTTCCACATCAGTGATCTGATAATGGAAAAACAGACTGATTTCCTTTCTCCCAGCCCAAGGTTACTCTTCTTTTTCTTTGAAGAGAGAGACTTGCCTTTTATTTGTGCTTAGAGAGAATAAAAATGAAGTCATAATTTCCCACTCTATGTGTTTTCAGAATTATATATTCAGAATAAATTCATTCTGAACCCAATTCTGTAATTAGAATACAGTATTAATGATTGATAATTTGTCAGAGCAGATTCTGAAATTATTCTAACACTGATTTGATCCAGATCGACTTGAAATTTTGTACTATATGTTTTCCTATCTACTTAACAGTTTCAAGGGAATGTTGCCCATTATAAAGTAGAAATGGACCTCCATAACACTGCAAAGTATGAGAATTCTATAACAGAAATTTACTACAGAATTTTTCATCCCAAGAGTACCAAATTAGAATTCTAGTTCGGTAATCCTCACTTAAGAGAAGATATATTTAAAATGCTGACTAATAATAAAAATGGTTCAGATATCAATGTCTGTTCCTGTATGACAATTCCTTTTCCCCGTACAAGACCTAAACCAAATAATCAGAACAAAATGTATGTTGTCAACAATCCTTCTGTCAAGTGACCACTATTTAACTAAAGTGAAAGAGTTAACTGCAGTCAGTTAACAGATTTTTATCTCTGTGATGAATCTGCTTTTAAATTCCATTGATATTTCTACAACACCACATATACAATTGTTATTGTAATAATTATCTTTTCTGTTCTGTTTGGTTCTAACTTAAAATCTGCTTCATTTTTCAGGTTTAATGTGTCTGCTGCTAATTTGAAAAGAAAATGGATGCAGATACTTCCGTTGACGTATTTTCTAAAGCCCTGGAAGCTCAGATGCTTCAGACAGCTAAGATTGTAGAAGAACAGCTTGATGCTGAAATGCAAAAAATGGATCAAATGGATGAAGATGAACTGGAACTTCTCAAACAAAAAAGGCTTGAAGCACTCAAGAAAGATCAGCAACAAAAACAGGTAACTGACAAATATAAGGACCCAAATCCCTTCTCCTGTATTGCATTCAGAATCTTGAAGTATCTCTACAAACTAGGCCACTCTTATTCCACTAACAAGTAAAGAGATGAAGTTAACAAAATGTTAGCTTGCTTCCAGTTACAGGGATTTGAAATGAAGTGAAATTAAAATAGTAAATTCCATTAAAATTTGAGGGCTTTAGTCAACCTTCATATGTTTATTATTACAGCCTTACAATCAACCTTTGCAAATTTAATCTAAAGTATTTTAACAGATTTAGTAAAATAGACAAATATGAATTGCCTCAGGATACAGTCCTATGCACATTGGGAGAAACCCCTATTGACTTAGTACAACTTAGACCAGGGCCTTTCAACCTTTTCACAGATTGTACCACTTTTAGGACATGACAATATTTGACTACCACCAGTGCTTAGCAAGGTGCAAAAAGGGGGAGGGAATTTTGGGTTTTACTGATTAGATTCATTTGTTGTTATAGACATGGCTAGTTTATAATATTTGTTGTTAATTGCAAAGTCATGTCCGACCCATCGCGACCCCATGGACAATGTTCCTCCAGGTCTTCCTGTCCTCTACTGTCTTTTTTTTTTTTTTAATTGAAAATTTTTACAGTTTTACAATAAAATAATCCCCCTCTCCCACCCCCCCTCCCACCCATCATCCTCCCCCCTTCTTCCCAGAGCTGAATACAGGGTTAATAAAAACTAAAAAAAAAAAAAACCTTACAACTTAAATAAACATCAAACAATTATAAATACATTCAAAAAAACAACAAAATTTTAAATACTTTAACTCCAATATATAAAAACAAAACAAAACAATAGTTCTAATCGTTACCTTAAACATAAATTATTCAAAAGCTAGACAATACTTTTTAATCTCATATTTGTGCTGTATAAAATTCACCCATCTTTTCCACACCCAAAAATATTTCTCTTGTGATTGATCTTTCAAATAAGCCGAAATTTTTGCCATTTCAGATAAATAAGAAACTTTAAGAAACCATTCCTCTAAAGTAGGCAAAGAGTCCTTCTTCCAGTATTGCCCTATCAACAGCCTTGCCGCTGTAATTAAATTCAACATTAAAATAATTTCTTTATCATCACAATCAACAATAACGCCTAACAAAAACAATTGTGGTGTAAATTTTATCCTTCTATTAAAATTTTTTTGAATATTCCACCAAATCTTAATCCAAAAAGCCTTTATATTTTTACATGACCACCAAATATGATAATACGTTGCATCCAAACAACCCCATCTCCAACATTTAGGCTGCAAATTTGGATACATACGAGACATCTTCTGTGGATCAAGGTGCCACCTATAAAACATTTTGTAAAAAATTTTTCGTAAATTTTGAGCTTGTGTAAATTTAACATTCCTCACCCAAATTATCTTCCATGTATATAATAAGATCGGCTCTTCAAAATTTTGAGCCCATTTAACCATACAATCTTTAACTAATTCTGTTTCTGAATCCAATTCCACTAGAACACCATAAATTCTTTTTATATGAGTTCAACTTTGGTCTTTAATTTGTTTCAACAAAATCACATCCTCCCTAATCAAACCCACTTTTTGATCTATCTCCACCTTTCTAATAATTGTCTATACTGAAACCAAGAATAATTAATATTTTCTTGTAATAATTAATCCATAGATTTTAGTTGCCAATTTTTCCCATCCCAATTAAGTAATAGTTTATAAGAAATGCTATCCATCTTCACTTCTCTTCTTATTCCTTCTATCGCATGCCCTGGGATTGCCCACAATGGAATTCTGGACTCTATTCTATAATATTTCTTCCAAACTCGCAATAAAGAAGTTCTTAAAATATGAGACTTAAAAACCCTATCCACCTTTTTATTATATATTAAATATGCATGCCATCCATATAATAAATCCCATCCCTCCAAAAGGAGTATATTTACATTTGTTAAATTAATCCAGTCACTAATCAATGTTAAAACCACCGCATCATAATACAGTTTCAAATTCGGTACCTTGAGTCCGCCTCTCTCTCGAACATCTTGTATAATTTTAAGCTTTACTCTTGGTTTTTTCCCCGCCCAAATAAATTTATTAATACCTTTCTGCCATTCTTCTAAATTTGCCTCCATCTTTAAAATAGGTATCATTTGAAACAAAAAAGAAACTTTGGTAGAACATTCATTTTGACCGCAGCAATTCTCCCCAACAAAGATAGTTGCATTTTTTTCCAATCATTCAAATCTTTCTGTATTTTAAACCACAATTTTTCATAATTAATTTTATACAATTTTGCATTAAAAGCAGATAAAAATACCCCCAAATATTTAACCTTTTTTACAACTTCAAAACCTGTCAACCTAACCAAAGTATCCTTATCCAAATTAGTCATATTTTTTGGTAATATTTTAGTTTTATTATTATTAACTTTAAAACCGGAGACTTGCCCGAATTGATTTATCAATTGTAACAACTCCACTACAGAATGAGTTGGTTGAACCAAAGTGACAACCAAATCATCTGCAAAAGCCCTTAATTTGTAATCATTTTTTATTCATCTCTATTCCCTTTATTTTGGGTGATTCACGAATTTTTATCAACAAAATTTCCAACGTTAAAACAAACAACAAAGGAGACAGTGGACAACCCTGTCTAGTCCCCTTTTCAATTTGAAATACCTCAGATAAACCTCCATTAACTATAAGTTGTGCTGATTGTCTTTGATAAATACCTCGAAAAGCCTGTAAAATTTTATCTGCAAAATTCATTTCTTCAACCAATCTTAACATAAATTGCCAATTTAATTGATCAAAGGCTTTCTCAGCGTCTAAAAAAATCAATCTGCAGAAATCTGATTATTTTTATTCAAGTATTCTATTAAATTAATAATTTGTCTAACATTATTCTTCATATATCTTCCAGTTATAAAACCTGTTTGATCCATATGTATCACTTGATTCAATACGATCATAAGTCTGTTAGCTAAAATTTTTGAAAAAATTTTGTAATCTACATTCAAAAGAGATATAGGTCTATAATTTTTTGGCAAAGTAAGATCTTGATCCTCTTTTGGAATCAAGGATATAAAAGCCCTACCCCAAGACGGGGGAGTCTCTAACCCTTGTAATATATTATTAAAAAGTTCCTTTAGAGCAGCGGTTCTCAACCTATGGGTCGCGACCCCATTTGGGGTCGATCGACCATTTCTCGGAGGTCGCCAAACAAGGCGATCCGCCATTTTTCCCCTCGGGGGGCGGTGCCGCGCATGGGGTGGCGCTGTGCATGCGTGCGGCGGCGCGCTGCGCATGGGGGGGCGCCGCGCATGCGCGGCACGTTTGTGTGACGGGGGTCGCCGTCACACAAACGTTGAGAAGCACTGCTTTAGAGGTTCTATCATCTCATCAATCAAAACTTTATAATAAATTGATGTCAATCCATCAGTGCCAGGTGCTTTGCCTGCTTTTAGTGGCTTAATTGCTGTAATAATTTCCTCTGAAGTAATAAATCCATTAATATCTTGTCTCTGATCATCTGTTAACTTAGGAAAATGAGCATCTTGTAAGTATTTGTCTATATCTGAGCTCTGTACCTTCTTACCCATGTATAGTTTTGTATAATAATCTAAAAAAGATTTTTTAATCAGTTCTTTCTGAAAAAGCACTTTACCATTGTAATTTATTTTACCGTATTTTCCGGCGTATAAGACGACTGGGCGTATAAGACGACCCCCAACTTTTCCAGTTAAAATATAGAGTTTGGGCTATACTCACCGTATAAGACTACCCCTCTTCCAACGCACACCAAATAAAAATTTAAAAACATCAGATTTGATTTCAATATGGTAATTTTAATTCAAATGCTTATGACATGCAGGTACTTAGCAGAAAAACTGTCATTTATAAACATAAGGCTGTCATCAAACATATAAACATAAAACAGTGCAAGTGGATTAAACTTTTCCTAATTCACTCTAAAGCTGAAAGGAAGGATAAGACAATAAAACCATGGGAGCTGCCATGCTGTTTGTTTTCTAAGCTGTCAACCAAACTGAACTGATGATGATAGGAGGAAGATAAAAAACAATAGAAAGAGCAAGTGCCGGGCAAGTCCCTGGCAAGTCAGCAACGCCCATCATAACTGCAAGCTATTTTTACAGGTTTTGCTTGTGTGACAGTTTCCCTTTAAAAGCCTTCAAAATCATCCTGTTCATCATCTGATATCATAAAAATATCAATGACATCTTGTGGTACATTTGTAAGGCAGTCATCATATGGATCGAATTCCGTATCAGATGGTGTGGTCTCAGCTTCAGCTTCCTCTTCATCTTGCCACAAGTAGTCATCCTCCATACCATCTAATGAATTTGATATGCCACACTTCTTGAAAGACTTGATTACTGTTTCTGCATCAATATCATTCCAGGCTTTTATGACAAACTTGCACAAAACATCCAACTGTGGAGCACGCATGTTTCCTCCTTTTGTGAATGACTTTTCGCCGCTAACCATCCATTCATTCCACTGTTCTCGAATGCGATCTTTAAATGGCTTGTTTAGGCACACATCCAGTGGCTGTACCAACGATGTCAATCCTGCAGGAATAACTGCCGCATCTGTGTTTATTCTTGCAAGCCTTTGCTTGGTGCTGGGAGTTAAATGAGCCCTGAACATATCCCACACCAGTAGACTACGTTTTTGAAGAAGTCCACCTGGTCGCCTGCTCCATACATTATCAAGCCATAGCTTTACCCCTTCTTCATCCATCCAGCCTTTTTCATTCACATGTACAAAACAACCAACAGGGAACTTGAGTTTCGGCATTGTTTTTCTTTTAAAAATAATCATTGGTCTCAGTTTGGCACCATCAGCTGTGCATCCTAATACCACTGTAAAACTGGACTTCTCATGTCCTGTTGTTTTAATTAAAATTGTTTTTTCACCTTTTTGATGGACAGTTTTATTTCCAACCATATCAAAATTCATTGGAGT